GAGACAGAATGACGTAAAATAATCTGAGCTTAGTGTGGCGCTTCAATGCAAAGTGGAAGATTTTTGTTAATTACAAATTCAAAACTTTATACTTAATTAAATTTAATTAAATTCAAAATATTTTCAAGCAAAGTTGATCAATTAAAAAATGTTTTATTACAGTTAAGTACTTTTTGACTCAGATTGTTTTTAAAAATGATGAGATTTTTTCAACTCTGAATTCATCAGAACTCGATTGATTGCTGATCTAAAATAATATATCTAATACAGGTGATAAAAATATGACGAACTTTATATTTGGAATTTCACAAAGGGAGTATAAAATCATTTAAAGATATAGATTCAGATGAAGCATTTTCCATATATGGAAAGCCAATGGTACCTATTTGTAATTTCCTAATTTCGGAATGATGTTGGAAACAACTTCGATAGAAAAAGAGGAGAGCATGTATTCTAACTCTAATGAATTCGCATTCTACAAATAAAAAACCGTCCAGCATTATATGAACATAGGTATGACTTTAAAGCTGGCAGTTGAAATCAGCTTCTATTGTGTGATATCCATAGTCCAATACATGGTAGAAATAGAGCTAACAGTGAATTTTGATAACGTCAATATGAGAGATAAAGAAAAAATTAACTCTTAGTGATTAGCCATAAAAAAAAGCCATTCACCAAGCAATGAATAAGAAGAGGACAGCGACAGCAATACTTCATATTTATATTTATTCATATATATTATTTAGACATAATTATTAAGTATTGATATAAACAACGCAATTTTTCAAGTATAAATAGTCCTAATTATTTTTTTGTTTTTTTTTTATATAAGCATAACAAAATGTCCGGTTCTTCCAGAGTTGCCATCAAAGTAGAGTTTATTTTATGTTGTTCTTTTGCTATATGCTTATAAAACACACTACTTTGTATTACAATATACGTACGTTGTGTTTATACTATCGCAAATAACTCTACAAATAAGCAGCTAATTACAGCTGTCATGTTTTATACAAAATCCAAACAAAAATAAGCTAATAATGTCCGAAATTTGTTAGTGTAAACATAGTCTGTTTATGTTTAGTTTGGAAACTCACTTAAGCAAAAACAATAACCATTCATAGCTTATTATTTTAAAATAATAATTATAATAGAATAAAAATATTTTTCATTTTAATAAATTAAATTGAAATTATTTATGACTTACCAAACTAATATTGCTTCAAAATTTACTGAATCCACTCTGCCGAATTCAGAGTTTACGGTATAATCTTCAACTTCTCGAGTTGGCAGTTTAATAATAAAATATAACGAAATGGCGTTTTAAATAGCCGCACATATGCCATAGGCAGCAATTTTAGAGAGTTGTCCTTAGGCGATAAGTATGTGGCGGTCTCCCGTAGAAGAAATCTAAAATACTAAAATAGCTCAAAGTTTTTATCAAATTTAATTTATTAATATTTATTAAATTAATTTTAATTATTTAAATTATTTAAATCCTATGTACTTACTATAGCTATCTATATATATATAGTCTATTTTTAGTTTTACTGAATGAAAATCGTTTTATTATCCTTGTAGATTAATGTATTTAAACCGCACGTGCGTCTATTTTTATAATTTCAAATTAAAATAATTATTTATCTAATTGAATTGATTTTATAAAATGTAAAATTTTTAAGTTTATAAATACTCTCACTAATTATACGTGGTTAATTTACTTTGAAATATTTCACAAATATACTATATAAATACATAGACACGTATTTTTAAGGAAAAGTGCCCGGTTTGGGAAATTGCAATTACGTGGCTCACTGTCTCGCTCTCTCCTTCGCGTTTAATTAAACTCCATTAATCCGGTGCCAAGTTCAAATTTTTCACGGTAATTATTTTTAATTTTTTATCGATGTATCACCACTTAAATTCAACTTGCACGGGTTATTATTCAATTAAAGAAATTTATTAATTAATTAAAAATTGTCAAGTTATTTTTATTTCATCAACAATTCAAATCTCTTAGTGACTTCCGCTTTCTCTTTTTTTTTCTTTTGTGGATGAGAAAATATTTTTCTCTATTTTTAAATAACGGATATTGCTAATATTTTAAAACAATATTTTCTCTTATTATTATTTTTTTTTTGTTTTTGTAATTGGAATGAAACTGTCTTTTCGTAGTAGTTGCACTTATTATTACACTTAACTTTTCGCAAATTAAAAAACAATAACAATTGCATATATTTTGAAATATTTTCATATATTTTATTTTTGCCCTTTACTTCCTTATTGCGTTTGTAAGAGGAAAATAAATACCAAAAATTAATTCAACAAATTCAATTGTATAATTGTATAACGCAAAATATAAAAACAACAATAAACAATTAAAACTAAAACGAAATTGAAAAATTCAGTTGAGCCAAAAACATCGCAACACCGAATAGCACGGACACAAACCACAAATAGCAACAAATTTATTACAATTTTGTATACACACAAATTTGACAGTCAGCTGGCAAACGTTTTCATCGCCAACATAGAACACAACAAATAGAAGCAGAAGAAGAAAAAATCTGGGAAAATTTTATTTATAAAAAAGTTGATAGCAATTTCAATTGAAAAAATAAGATGAGTTTGCCGGTAATTATTGCGGGCATACAAAGCACTGCAGGCGCTGTGCCAGTGCGAAATGAGAAAGGTTATTACGAAATGCGCGCAAGTTCAAGTGCAGTGCCAACGCTAATTTACATTCTATTTATGTTTTAGGTGAGATTTCTATGCAAAAAGTAAAAGTGCAGCGGTACGTATCAGGCAAGCGTCCAGATTATGCACGAAATGATTCTAGCAGCGATGAGAGTGACTTGGAAGACTTCATCGATCATCGGAAGCGCACAACTGCAGCAATTGCACAGCAGGAGCGTCGCTTAAGGCGTGAAGAGGAAATTGCACTTCAGCGGGCAGCCGATGAAGATGACGATGCTGAATTTGATGATCCACGTTTAAGGCGACTACGTGCGCGTCCCGTAGAACAAGATGATGTAGAGCTGGAACGGAAAGATCGTCATCGACATGTACATGAGCCAGAATTTGTTGAAACAGAATCAGAGGAAAGCGAGAATGAACCCAACCGCACTATTGAAGCATCGACAAATAAAATCACATTAGCTTCAGAGTCTGACTCTGATTCAGAATTAAGTGAAACTGAATTGGAGAAGAGACGTATGAAACTACGTCAACGCATGTTGCAGCAACAAAAAGAAGAAGAGGTGAACTATTTTGCTTAAATAAAATAAAAAAAAACAAAAAAAAAATTTAATAATCTAACTATATTTCAGATTTTACAAAAAGAAGAAGAAAACAAATCAGAATCATCAGATAGCGAGAGTTCAGATTATGAGGAGGAAACTGAAAGTGAGGAAGACAATGAACCACGTCTAAAACCACTTTTTGTACGTAAACGCGACAGAGCTACAATACAGGAGAAGGAACGTGAGGCACAGAAACAAAAACAACTCGAAACTGAAACTAAGAAATCTGCTAAGGAAAGACGCAGACATACCCTACGTATGGTCGAAGATAGTGTCAAAAAGGATTTGGAAAAGGTGAAAGTAAGTGCAAATTTGGTAATAAGCATTGGTTGCTTCTAGAGCATATCCTGCTCATACACTTAAAGGATGTTTTGTTAGGAATTTATTTAAAACTAAAGTACTATGATTGAGGCTAAGTTGAGTTGAACCGGTTTTCATCAAATTGTAAAGTTGATGTGTCTGGCCCATAGGTGGAAGTCATAAAAAAAATTGTATTTTATTAAATAGCCAATATGCTTTACTAATGAATACACGCAGTGTGGCTAATAGAAAATTTTTATATACTTTATGAATTTAGGAATAGATGGTTACTAGTCTATATTATTGATTTTTTACGTCCATTTTGACGAAAGAATCTAAATTCTTAAACCATTCTTTTCAATAAAGGGTTTTTAGTATTCGAAGAGTAGTAAAATTGTAACAACAAATATTTTTTTATTATTTTTTAATTAATTGAATTTTTGACTGACTGTACAGCTGTTTTGTGTGTTACCAAATTTAAAATGCTTTAATAATAGAATTTTAAATAAATTGCGGATGATGAGCAGGAAGCCTAGCTTTTAACTTATATTCTTTGAAATATATTTGTCCAAATATTTTGATTCCGGACAGTAAAAATTCAATATCGTATTCAATGGGTTTATGTATATAATTTTATTTTAGCCTGACACCGCAGAGGCCAGAATCGATGATGTATGCACTGATGATGAGAATGATGAAGTGGAGTATGAAGCCTGGAAATTGCGTGAATTGAAACGCATGAAACGTGATCGCGAAGAAAGAGAAAAGTATGAATTGTGGAAGAAATTATTTATTTCAAATTAAATATTATTTTTTTTAGTGCCGAACGTGACAAGCTTGAAATTGACCGTTTGCGTAACCTAACTGAGGAAGAACGTCGACAGGAAATGCGCACAAATCCAAAATTAATCACTAACAAAGCCAGCAAAGGCAAATATAAGTTCTTACAGAAATATTATCATCGTGGTGCCTTCTACCTGGACGAGGAAGAAGATGTACTTAAACGTGATTTCGCACAAGCTACACTGGAAGATCACTTTGACAAGACAATTTTGCCTAAAGTGATGCAGGTTAAGAATTTTGGACGTTGCGGACGTACCAAATATACGCATTTAGTAGATCAGGACACAACCAAATTTGATTCTCCCTGGTATGCCGAGACAACAAATAATATTAAATTCCATAATGAGAAAGCTGGTGGCATGAAGCAGCACTTTGATAGGCCGTCGCTGTCAAAACGTAAGAAAATGGAATAATTAATACATTGCCTAACTGATACATTTATTTGGTTAAGTATAAATACTCCTAACTTTTCACTATATTAACATTTACATACATATATATATTACTTATAAATATAATTCCTTTTCGTATGAATAAATTTTAATTTCAATTTATTAAAATATTTGTTTTTATTCAAAATATCATGCCAAGATATTCCCTTGCAACCGGATGCGACTTGAAATATTGCTTGAACTTACAAGCATACTTATTTCGTTCCTCTCTTTCCTTCAATTCGTCAAAGGTCTTGGCGAGATACACGTAAATATCCAAAACTTTTGCATGTGCCTCCAGTTTCTTAAACTGTTCAATTGCGTTCTCCAACATCGGTATGGATTTCAGAAGACCTATAATCTTCATACCCTTGCTATCTGCTGCTGCCACCAAGCACTTAACAAATATAAAATCGGTCTTGGCGCGATCATAGATGCCGCCATTAATACAGATGATTTCCATGCAATTCTTAATTGCTTGGAAAGCTTTCTGTATCAAACCCATTCTGAGCAGCACTTGCGCTAGCACCATATCAACCATTGCATGTTCATACTCCAGATACGCCGAGGCAGCTAACACCGAGGCACGCATAAGCAGTTCTATAGTTTGTGATGACATGCAATCCACTGAGATGGCCTTCAGGACCAGCACACGTACGTTTGTTAAAATGTCCAAATTACTCGTTTCCAGCAGTTTGTGCAGTAGGCGGCGTGCCACATTAAAATAACGTTTTGCCACCAATACAGTGGCGCGCTGCAGATTGCCGTCATTTTTGTCCAGCAAATAAAGTTGACAGCAAGCTTTTAGTGCTTCCTGCCAACGACAAC